TCCCACAGGGGCTCCATATAGGGTGGATGCTTCTGCGTCGCTGTTGCAAATGATCCTGTGGGAGACTCACTGACAGCCAAGCTCTGTGGCACACACACACACACACACACACACACACACACACACACACACACACACACAGGTAAAAAGCATTGAATTAATCTAAATGGAAATGTTACACTTTCTGTTTTGTAGTGAGATAATATGCAGCCCAACTGACATTAAAGCTGCACCCACCATTTTAGTTTAATGTAAATGAATTTGTCAGTTTGTCCATAAAATATCAAAACAAATACAGAACAGAAGGAGGACACGATAATGTCAAACGCAACAAGGACAAAACAAACAACAAAGAAAAACAAATGAACAAGCCAATGGACGAAAACTATGCAAAAACAAAATAAAAACGGTTGTGTTTGTCAGCATAATAATGGAAAAATACATCTCCAATTTTCATGAAACTTTGTGGAAGGATGAAGCATGAGCCAAGGAAGTAACCATTCAAATGTGGAGTTGAACCGATTGAAGGGTCATGATTTTTTGTTGCCCTTTCTAGGAAAACGCTTTTTCCTGGACAGCAGTGACTGGTTTTCCGAAGTGCAGACAAAGCCATGAGTCAGTCGAAGTCTTTATTTATTTTTTATTGCTGCACTGACAAGCCACATAGGGTCTTGTCTAGAATCAGCACTTTTATATGAACAATTCATCCACTGTCAAAAAACACATTTCCATCTCACACATCCTGAGCTACCCGTCTTGAAACCAATGAAACAGGCAGAGCCATTAAAGGTCTATATCATGTCGTCGCTATGTCAGGATGACTAACCTACAGGAAATGCAGGGATACGGGTTTTGTCAGAGACCCTGTACCATCTGACATTTTTATACATGCTTGCTCGTGTTGGATTTAAAACCCTGGTGTGTAAGGCTTTAAAACCCCAGTATCTCCAGGTTTCTTCAGTCCCTGTTTTGTTCTTGGCCACTACTAGAAACATATCCCTGACCTTTGCATTTGGTTATTAACCTCAAAGATATTCAAAACTGTGGCGTGATATTTGCTTGGTAGCCTGGCCAAGATGCGTAAAAGTATTATGTATAAATAGTTCAAGCAGGAAGACAATTACCATTTTCATTGTATCATCTCTTCAGCTCTCCATTGCATATACATTTGGTCGTTTTCCTGCGAAGGGCATTAAAACAACCTTCTTATATCTCAGCAGCCGCATTTCTCCTGCCATTAAGATCACATCTCCATCTCTCCAGGGTGGGATATTTAGAATGACTGTTTTTATAAGTTCTTCCCCTCTAAACTGATTTCATTTATGGGGTTAATCTTTTACATATTAAACCCAACATCCATTTTCTCCCCCCGATTGACCTAACTTGATAAATGGTCAAAATGCATGAACAGCTCCTCCCGAAACATGCATAATTATATGAACGCAGAATCACAGTGCTACCTCATTAGAGACTGTAAACCCCGGGGTAGCACATGGAAAATAATTGAAGAGTTCAGCACTACCGACAACGCTCAGAGCATTTTGGAATCCATTTTTACAAATAAGCACCAGCTGCAAGCGGGATGATATCTCCCGAGAAAGTAGCACAGAGATGATTTCGGTTTTAATAAAACATGTTGGCTTGTTAATAATTCCAAAACACTGCCAACAAGAATTAAGAGTCTGCAGACGTGCCAGCAGCTGTGAGGCCCAAAAACAGTGCTGAGAGCTAAGTGCTATCAAATGCATGCTATTGCTAACATGTTGGTTTTTAGCATGATAGTTTAGCAGTTCATGTCAGCTTCAGAGACATAATAAGTAAACTTCAGCTCCATCTTCAGGTTAAATACTTTCATAGAATAGATACAGAAAAACTTGCATTACTGTATGTCATAACCTAACATTCACTAGTTTTCATTTATTTACCTATTTTTGGCCTTGCACCTTAGGAGAACTGTGCTTAATGTCTCTATATGTATCCCACTTACTGAGGAGGACGTGTCCAAATGAAATAAAGGGTAATAATGTGTCATAATAATACAGGAGAACACTGATCCAAGGAACAGGGATTGGACAATAAGAAAAGAGAAACTCCCGGGTAAAAACAGGACATTTGGCAAGAGTGCAACCGCTTAGCTCATACAGCAATGCAACACACTTGTAGGTTAAAGTCATAATTCAAAATGACCCATTTGGAAACATTTAAAATATGTTATGCGCTCTCTGCAAAGTGACTGACACCTCATCAGTCACACTCCTCGACTTACCCCCTCTCAATTATCTCAGGTGAGCCTGTCTTGCTGCAGAAAGCCACCGTGACTTACGATGAGTTGTGACATGAGGGGTCAGAGACATCCGAATATTACTATAGGTGCTTCACCTGATGCTCATTTGTCCTAGTCTGTTGCAAAAATGCTCAGAGCGCTGTCAGAGCTGCTGAACTGTGCAATTATGCCTTTTTCCCGGCTGTTTGCCCCAGGGCTGCAGCCACTAATGAGGTATGGGTGTCTGCTGTTGAACAGAGTGAATAACATTACGTATGTATATGTACAGAGGGCCTCAGGGCGCAGCTGCACCACCAGCACCTGTACCGACGACTGATTCTCATAATCCCCTGATTGCTCGGTTTTTACTTTGTTCAGTAACACACACGTCACACCTGAAAAGTGCTCCTTAATGCAGCAAAAGGCTTCATTAAAATTCAGGTGAGTAGTAATTACGAGGAAGATAATTACTACTCGGTTTGCATACGAGAACACTCGAGCATGTCATCATTTAAGCCATTTGACATATCTTTACATATCATGAATGCAGGCGTGCTCCAATGGCATTCTGGTTCAAATGATATTCACAACTCAGTTTCTTCCCATCAGCCTGAGAAGAAGGAAGTAGCAGCTATGAATAGAAACACATTTCTGACCATTTTGGTACGAGATTAAAAACTGCTTTCGTTCAGCCCTCTCCTGCCTCAATTTTGAAAAACCTCAGAATTAATCGGGGGTTTTTGTGTGCATGTGATTCCTTCCACTGAACCAATACCTGCAACAGGACCTGTACGTGTCTGGCATCGAGTAAGGTCTAACATTTCAGGAAATTACTCACATGGTGTCGTCATGCGTAAGGATTTTCCCTTCTTGCACCACAGCCCAGACCTCAGTGTGCTGAAATCCTTCGACTGGCAGCATTGGGAGGAAATGCAGTTTAATGAACCAGAGGAAGGATCCTGAAAGGCAGATAAAGAGAGGCAACCTTCATCAATATGTGAATAAGAATATGTAGAAAGTAATAGAAACATATCCCGGGTATTAGGAAGGTCAGCAGGAGCCTTTGGTCACAAAAGCTTCCGCAGCAAGATGAAGGTCAGCCAAGCGAGGTATAATTTAATAGAAATTACAGAATAAAGAACCAGCCGTTATTATTTCCTCCTTTCTTATCTCTTTGCCTCTTAACCACGCCTTGATGCAACATTTTCTCGACTTTGCTCCAGTCCTTCCACTGACATTTAACTCAGATAGTGAGATAACCGCTGCCTCTGGATCTGCTGAACCCGCAGGAAATGTTTCTATAACTTAATATCCTCATGTACATCTGTGCATGTGTGTGTCAGTGCTCGTCACCACTCAGGGACCAGAGGTAGGGTGACATTTGTGAAGGCACGTAAAACCTTGCCACTGTCTCAGCACTGTCTGTTCGGATTACAGTGTGTGTGCAGTGTCGACAGAGAAAGCTCTCAGAAAGTGTGTACAAATATCCAACTTCTGTCACGTCTGACGCAGGGACAAATGGAAACAGACAACATGACTTGAGTGCGTGTTAAAAGGGGCTGGTTGAGAAGCTTATGGAAAAAGTGAGTATGTGTGATGTGCTCTGTGTACATGCAGGAAAACAGCTTGAATACTAATGAAGCGATCAACCACAATTTGACAGTTTTGTGGCATATTTTCTTCATACTTAACTGTAATGTTATCCTCTGAAGCTGGAAGAGCACTGAAATAACTTGTTTTACAAACTACTAAATGGTCAGTTGATTCAAAATAAATACATTTTATAACCAAACCCTGGTGCATTTATGGTCATATCCAGTTCTAACTAAATGCCTATCAACTTGTTTCAGATATAAAAAAGAACTTCTTTATTCTTTCTTATTTGTATATGATGACCTGAAGATGTGTTTGCACTGTCTAAACCTGCGGAAAGTTGCCTTATGCATTGAAATATTTAGATATCTGATACCAGGCAGCAGAAATCAGAGGGATGGAAACATTATTCACAAGTCAGGCCATGTGAGAACCCCCCTCCATAGGCTGAAGGACAGTAGACGGCATTGTGATGACGGCATGGAGCACAAAGGGTGCGGAAAGGCTCTGTAATGCCACGGCTCATAGTGCCCTGCTAACCTGTGCTTTCAGTTCCCATTTTAAACCACAGAGGATCATAGTCCTTGTCAGATATATGAGGGTGGCATCCCAGTGCGATAGGCGACCATTCCTGTGACTCTAACACAATTTGATAGAGGGCTTTTCACTCTCTACGCCCAACGGTAATGCATTAGCTAATCTCACTGCTGCCAAACCACTGGAGGATGAAACTATTCCTCATAGCAAACATAAAAACCCTGATGGATTTGTTGCCTAAAAACATGTTTTTCAAGACAATAATATCACCAGAAAGGCTCTGAAAGATGCAGGCATATCAGAGCAAGAAGCTAAACAAGTCCAAACAGTGTGAAGC